AGCTATTCTCCAAAACACCTGAGGACAGGGCAAGAAGCAATGGGTGGAAACTAATCAAGGAGAGAAGCAACTTAGAACTAAAAAGAAATTTCCTGACAGTTAGAACAGTTAATCAGTGGAACAACTTGCCTCCAGAAGTTGTGAATGCCCCAACACTGCAAGTCTTTAAGAAGATGTTGGATAGCCATTTGTCTGAAATGGTATAGGGTTTCCTGCCTAAGCAGGGGGTTGGACTAGAAGACCTCCAACGTCCCTTCCAACTTTGATATTCTATTCTATTCTATTCTATTCTATTCCTATTCCATTCCATTATATTCCCAGCTTTGACCATTGTCTTAGTTCATTCATTTGGAAGACCCCCAGGTTGAGTGGGTTATTTGGTTGAGGATTCTTTCATCTGCCAAAAACTTCTTCAGTTCTCTGTTGCAGAAAGAGGAGATAGCAAATTGGTACACCGCCTCCCCCGTTAGTGGCATCCATTTTTTTCAACATTCAAAACATATAGCATCCTTCACTCAGGAACTAACATTTTGTCCCCCAAGCTAAATGTAATGAAATTTTAGAGATCTCATCACAACTTACAAGTTAACCACACATTTGTGATCCTGTGGAATGGTGACTAAATTTTGAGAGGCCAGTATGCTTTAGAGTTGGACAGAAGCCTGGCACCCGTGGGCATTCTCTACTGATTGGTACTATGAGGTTGTTCACTTCTATGTGGCTTAGAATGATGTATCAACCAAATGGCTTAATGCTATTAGCAAACCAAGGTGATACTGCTTGTCAAATAATCATGGCTAAAATATCCTGGCCTTAGCGTTACATAGGAAGGCAGACATTCAAAACACAAACAGAGTTAAGGACACAGGGAGAAATGAAAATTCTTTCTAGCCTTACAGGTTGTCAGATGATAATCCAATGAGTAGGGCATTTCAAGCAGCAAAAATGAAAGTAGAAGAGGGCAAACAGTAGGTATGAGAGTGGGCTGAGATCTCACCTCTGGCTCGGTTCCGTTCACTGGAGCCAGCTTGGGATCCAGGCTGGGAGCCGGCCTGTGAACTGGGCTGTGAACTGGGGGTGCTGGAGCTGGAAGAACTGCCACTGCTTGTCCTCTGTATCAGGTTTTCTATGATGGGCTCCGTTCTCCGCAGGTCTGGGTTACTGGGAACAGGAAAGGAGAGAGGATGTTGTACCTATTTATTTGTTTTCCACCTTTATTATTTTTTTATAAATAGCTCAAGGTAGTAAACACACTTAATATTCCTCCCATTTTCCCAACAACAGTAAGTGAGGTGAGTTGGGCTGAGAGAGAGTGACTTACCCAATCACTGAGTCAGCTTTCATGCTTAAGGCAGAACTAGAACAATCTTCTGGTTTCTAGGTTGGTGCCTTAACAACTAGACCAAATTGGCTCTCATTTTATCTATTCATCTATTCCATGAATACTTTAGAAAGATTCTTGTGAATTAGTAAGGTGGGAGAGGACCCTTTGGTGCTTCCCTTGGTCAACGCTACAAATGTTCATAGAAGACATTTGGTATTGAAGATGGCAGGTATCTAACAGAATAACAACCAGGCTACTCTGGTTTCTAATGCCATGAACATCTAAACCACAACTACCTCTTTCGTCAGACAAGAGCAAACTGAGGCTGAAGACCATGAACATCATTTCTGGGGACCCTTAGATTAAATTGGAAGTTTAGTCATTAAGTAGAGCAGGGGTGAAATTCAGCAGGTTCTGGAGAACCGGTAGAGGAAATTTTGAGTAGATCAGAGAATCTGCAAATACTACTTCTGGCTGGCCCCAGCGTGGGATGGGAATGGAGATTTTGCAGTATCCTCCCCCCAAGAGTGGGATGGGAATGGAGATTTTGCAGTATCCTTCCCCTGCCATGCCCACCCAGCCACGCCCATAGAACCGGTAGTAAAAAAAAAATTGAATTTAATCACTGAAGTACAGCCAAAAGAGCCAATTGGTAAAACTTCACTGTAAATTGCAGTGAAAAAAATAACCAATGTCATTCATGTTTGGTCTTTCCCTTTCCCCAAACAAGTTTACACTTACTGCACTGGGATGGAGCAGATTTCTTTTCTCCTCCAGGGAGAAAATTGCTATTTCTGTTCTTTCAACAATTACCTGTTGACCCAAAGATCAAGTAGAATAAGGCAAAGCACTGCTACCAAACCGTAAAGTTGAGACCCTGCAGGAACGTTCCCAAACTATTTCTTATAGCTGTAAGGTAGGAAAAGTGAACGAGTATTGTGCAAGTCTGAAATCCTTACACAACATCTTCACAGAGTGAGAAGCTATCATTTCCCTTTATGTCAGAGAACCAGGCTTACAAATCATTGCTGGCTTTGGGTACTATCAATTCTCTAATCAAACCGCTGGAAAAGATGATAAGAGACCCTGGATGACACTAGATGAACTGTATTATTTAATATCTGCATGTGTAGTCACATCTTCATAGTAAACAAGGGGCAACCTAATTACATAGATATGATCTTTGAGAAATAAATAGCCATCAAATAAATATTGTGCCTTATCGATGATGATCCATTTATTTAAATTCTTTGCAGCATACCATTTTGATTTCCTTAATTTCTGCTAAACAGTCAGTATCTTAAAAAACCTGACTTATACGAGATACGTTAGGAGATGCAGTAGCACGACCAAAATAAAGTCATTAAGAGTAATGGGATGGCAGTCATCAAATTAAGGAAACAGGTAAGTAGCAAGTTTTTAAAAAATCATTCTGAAACCAGCTGCAAATATTCTATGATGTATGTGCATATCAACTATCATGGATTATACACCAACTAATATTGACTAATCTATTTGCCTTGTTCTAATTCCCTCCAAAAGGCATCAAATGAGTCGACCTTGAAATAACTTGAAAGGACCCAGTCCTAGTCTCAGATGTGAATATTCATCTACTGTAAAACACACTGCCCAGGTAGGTTTTTTCACACTGTCCCCGCTCCAGGCTGGCTGTGAGGTATTAGAAGAAATGAAGTACCACACGCCTAGAAGGATCTTCTTAGCTGAAGGATTCTAATTTTATCCTGTCCAATCTTTTCTTTGATCTCACAATATTAGTGAAAATTGCTTACATAGTGTAAGAAAATTCTAACATTGGACATTGAATTTGAAAGCCAAGTGCCTAACTCCAAGCAGCAACCAAGAAGAAGCTTAAGGCAGATGCCTTAACAGAAAGTCAGACTTGAACAAGACGAATCTGGATTTATCAGGGGTGGAATTCAGCCGGTTCGGATTGGTTTGGGTGAACCGGATGCTAATTTACATCTGGTTCACTGAATTGCTAGTTGGAAGGACTGGCTGGCCCTGCCCACCCCATCCCGCTTCTCCCAGGAGTTTCCACAAGGCCCGTTCATCATGCTAAGTAAGTGCAGGGTCCGGGTAGAGGCTCTGGAAGGGTGAAAAATGGGCCTCTCCGAAGTCTGGAAATGGGCCTTTTCCGGCCTCTGGAGGGCCTCCAGAGCCTGGGGGAGGCCATTTTCGCCATCCTGGAGACTTGAGAAAAGCTTCCGGAGTCTGTGGAGGGCAAAAACACCATCCGCCCACCATGATGCAACCCGAGTAGGCCACACCCCTCATGTCCACCCAGCAACTGGGCAGAAAACTGGTTGGAAAAATTTTTCAATCCCACCCCTGATTTAAATCCTGCCTGTTGGGGGTGACACACACATGTGTGCCTATTGTACAGACATTCCACCTTTTCTTCTAGAGGTCGTAAGTGCTGGAACTCAGTTTTCTTGGTTCGTATCCAATCTTCTATAGCTGTTCTTAAACTGTTCTTATATTGAAAGTGAGATTAGCAAACCCTATCCTTTCTCTCAAGAGTTCAGATCCCAGCAAGGAGGAAAGGTGAGAAAAGGGCAGCTATGCCCAAAATAAAGCAGGGTAGCTTTTATGCATGCCACCTGGAGTGGAAAACTATATTGGTAAATAACACATAGATAACCTTTTTTTAAGTGGGTCATTCTAAGAATAACTGACTAGTTTTATTCTGTGTTTTCCAACCCTACATCCCAAATTCCATCCGGTTGGGAAAGGCAGTTATAGAAGATGAAACATTTCTACGCCTGAGTACAACACAAATATTTTCAGACTGGTTGCTCCTAGATTCGGAATTTTAGATGCAGTTATGAGTGAGGTTTCCTAGGGAAAATCCACAATTTGCTGCCTTTTTGAGCAAATCTTTCAATCTTCTACTTAGACAGGGTTTGTTGTACATTGCGGTGCTCAAAAAATGAGTCTTGGGGTTATGGCTGCTTTGTATTTTATTACTGCAATAGGATCTGCAGCGTGACGCAAAACACAAACTAATTGAAGAAAGAGCAAGAACTCCTAGATCCAAGACTTACATCCTTTTAGGCAAAGGTTGCTGCTATTGTACGCCAGAAAGGACATTTGAAATATTGTGGAGATGAATGCTTGCCAAAGCCTTAAATAAATCTTAGCTATTTCCTATCAATCCTCTAGCTCTTAATGCATTAGTTTAGTTAAATCAGATTAAATCCTGATTTATCAAGAGCTGAAATAAGTAAGATCTATTGCCCAGCATAATATGAAATATAAAAATAACATCTAAATCTAAATCTAAATCTACATCCATCCATCCATCCATCCATCCATCCATCCGAAATATAAATAAATAATCTACTCTGAAAGGCAGTGGATCCCCAGAATTTCAGGAAATAGCTGAAAAGGTGCTGGGCAAGATATGAACAGTACCAGAGGAGATGCAAAAAAGGGACAATTAAAAGACTGCACCAACTGGGGGTTTTGAACTCAAGATGAACCGAAGGGAAGAGGGGCTAATCGATGCTACTATGGAGACCAATAGGTCCCCCCCCCCCCTTTCACAATGTAGTTATCTGCTAAAATTACACATAGGAAGATTTGGGATTGTCAAATTTGCTTCCATCAGCTACTGTGATGGACCACTAGCTTAGGCAGCTTTTAGGGGAAACCAGACAAAATCGTGGAGAGGACTATCAGTAGTTGCTTGTTTTGATAACCCAATATCACTTCCTTGAACACAGGTAGTGAACAAGTAACTGGTATCTTAAATATCAGATGCTAGGAAGCAACAGTGGGAACAGGGCTATCACAATTTTATGATGATTTATGAGCCTCCCAAATACATCTGGTTACCTGTTTATGGCACAACACTGAGCTTGATGGGATCTTACTCAACCAGCCAGGCTCTTTCCATGTACCGTATTTTTTGGAGTATAAGATGCACAAGGATTTTGAAGAGGCAAATTAAAAAAAAAAGTTTTTGCACTCTGCAGACCTCCCCAAAACAACCTTTTTTTTTGCGAAAACGGGCCCATTTTTTGCCAAAAAAAAATACATGCATAGCCTTTAGGAGGCTTGTAGAGTGCTCCTGGGGGCTGGGAGCCAAAAATGAGCAAAAAACAGCCTGTTTTTTGTAAAAAATAAAAGGGCATGCATAGCCTTTAGGAAGCTTATAGTGCTCCTGGGGGTGGAAGGGGCACAAATGAGCAAAAAATGGCCCATTTTCCGCTCATTTTTGCCCTCCCCAGCCCCCAGGAGCACTCTTGAAGCCTCCTAAAGGCTATGCATGGCCATTTTGTTGAAGGGAGGGGGGTTGGGAGGCCAAAAATGATGTATTCAGTGTATAAGACGCACCCAGATTTTCAGCTTCTTTTTTTGAGGGAAAAAGGTGCATCTTATACTCCAAAAATACGGTATGTGTCCATTATGTCCATGCTCCTTTGAGATTTTTTTAAACTAAAGATGGCAGGGACAGGACTTCCATGCAAAATCTGTGCTCTCCCACATGCCTCTCTCCTGGTGCACCACTATTCAACACTATCTAAATAAGGTAAGAGGTTCTCTTAATGTGTTACGATCCTCTTAGCCACATCTCAAAGAGGGTTGGGGAAAGGAAATAAGACTTTCTTCCTCCACAGAACATTCAGCTGTGTCTCTTTTCTAAATCTAGCGCTTCAGGTGTAGGGACAGTAAGTTTTTTCTTGGTTGGCGTTACCTTGCTCTTATGGGCTGTGATCCGAGTCGAGGTCCTAGAGCATTCCCATTCCCAGGTGAGTTCTTCCGAGCTAATGCAGGTGAAATGGAAGTAGTTCGTTGAGGCACCTGTAAGAAAACCCAAAGCGTGCTGGCTACTGAAGTTCTGCTGCCAGAAGTAGAATGAGACAATTCGCTGTGGCCAACTCGCTGCGGCCAACTTACCATTGCCAACTCGCCGGGGGACAATTGCCACAGGACAATTGAACAATCCAATTCAATTACTTAAAAGAAATAACAATTATTTTAATTTTGGTCACGCACATTTCGTTTTGTCCCTCCTTTTGCACCCTTTCTTGAGTGATTCTATTCCATTGTTTCTTTGATATTAGTGTAACTCTTGTCCCACAATGAGTTGTCCCATGCAAGTTATCCTGCAGCGAGTTGGCTGTGGCAAGTTGGCCAGGTCAAATTGTCAATAGACCCTCCCGGATTTGTCCAACATATTACAGGGAATGACTGACCACCAGGTTAGGCAAATTTGCCAGTGAAATGTCCTCTAATTTCTTCTGGAAAGATAGAACTATTTTTTTTTTCAGTGAAGCAATTATAAACTGCACTTGGGTGTTTTCACAGCACCTTGTTAGGAGGGAAAATAGCATATCTGAAATGCATTCATTTTAACTCCATAGGGTAACTTACTTGTTTCAATCAAGGCTTGATGATGTTTAAGTTGCTACACCAATATATGATTTGCAGAAAGTCATATATGGGAGCTAAAAGTTCCCAGATTTTTGGAGAACTATCCTACCGTGTCCCACAGAAACCAAGAGAACATTCATTTTTCATCAGAAGCCAGGAATTTTCTTTGAGAGCTTGAGGTGGTTTACACTGGGGGGACATTCTTTTCTTTTATCCCTATAGCAAGAACTCAGGAAAATGAGTTGAGTTGAGAGTCCACAAGTGGCCTGCAGTTAGCCAGTCTGCTTCCATGATTGAGTGGGAACTAGAATCTGGATCTTCTGAGTCCGGGTCAAGGACATATTATATTACAATGACATTAATGATGATAGTAAGGTAAAGGTAAAAGTTCCCCTCGTACATATGTGCTAGTCATTCCCGACTCTAGGGGGCGGTGCTCATCTCCCTTTCAAAGCCGAAGAGCATTGCTGTCCAAAGAAATCTCTGTGGTCATGTGGCCGGCATGACTAAACGCAGAAGGCAAATGGAACGCTGTTATCTTCCCACCAAAGATGGTTTCTATTTTTCTACTTGCATTTTTTACATGCTTTCGAACTGCTAGGTTGGCAGAAGCTGGGACAAGTAATGGGAGCTCACTCCATTACGCGGCATTAGGGATTTGAACCGCCGACCTGCCGGCCTTCTGATCGACAAGCTCAGCATCTTAGCCACTGTGTCCCTAATGTCCCAGAACATTAGGGACATTATAAGGAGATGCATCAAGCATAGAACCCTCTTTGCTCTTCTCTTTAGCATTGCTGTGTTTTCTCCAAATGAAGGACTGATATTGACAGGTTTCTCTTCAACCTGATTCCTAGAGGTGAAACAGAGCTATTTCTTCATTTTTACTTTTTCTGTATCAAACAAACAAACACTTCAAGGCCTCCCAGGCAACATTCCTTAATATGTTTTACTTGCCTTGAGGAATCTTAAACTTTATTGGTATGGGACCAAGTATAAAATGAAGAAATAGCTCTGTT